AACTTAAGAGTCTAAGAATAAGTGTAAGTGCATAGGGGGGGTGGGGGGAATTAGGAAAGCCATGGCAGGCTGGTATTCCTAGCAATTGGGGATGCTGGCACACCCCTGACCAGCTTGTCAGCCAAAACTTGGGAGTTAGGATCCATTGAAGATCAGGTTCTGACCTGGGCAGTAATTTGGGTACTGCCAGGCGAAGAACTGAACTCAGACACATAGAGGGGAATGAGGGGTAGGGATTTACAATAGAAATAGATGCAAGGAAGGAACATATTAGCATAAATCATTGAATCATGCGCAATAAAGTAAATAGGATTGCAGAAACTGTAAGTAAACACATAGGGGTGAGGCAGGAATGTTAACTCAGAACATACCAGTTTCAAAAGAAATAAGTATAAACAGTAGTCTTGAAAAGGCCAAGTTGCAAGCAAAGCAATTCCAAAAGATCCCAATCAAAGCAGAATATCGAATTCAAAACAGTATTGCAAGTGTGCAAGTATTTTAAAGACTAGTGGTGTGAAGGTTGTGTGAAGAATGAAGTCGTGTCTAAAAGTGGAGAGGGGCAGTCCTTTTTATAGTGCAGAGAAACAAGTAAGAAAGGCAAGGAATATATCATTGAAATTAGTCTCCCTTTGGTTAAGGGATTCTGATTTCGACGGGTAAAAGCCAGTTAAGGAAAGAAATTTTAACTAAAACTTTTCAAAGTAGCACAAAAGGGGGTAAATACATAGAAGTTATTTAAGGAAAACAATTAATGGTACACGGTTTGTGACAACTATGGAAAGGGAATCAATCAAACAACCAGTGAAACCAAAATTACAAGTTCAATTTGAATGAACCAAGTCAGGAAAAGGTAAAGGAGATTCAATCAAAGAAAACCAGTCAGACCTTATTAAGAGGATTTCGGAATCAATCAATTAGTTGGAAAAACCTTTTGAAAGCAGAGTCCTTATATATAAAGCACACAAATCAAGAAGGGATTGTCAAATTATTTAGAAGAGGGTTTAATCAAAGAGGGGTTCAGAATCATAAGCAAAAGTGGTACAAGTCCGATTTGTAGACTCACGAGGAGTCTGAGAGTCCAGGGTCCCAAAGAGGAACCCTAACTCGCACACAAGAATCAAAATTGCCAAGAAACCCCCAAATCTTAGGGTTTCGAATTGAGTCAGACAATAGAGATGAGAAGGCAAGCCGCTTGATAGAGGCTCAGGAGTCCTTTCCACAGACTCATGAGAAACAAACAAACAAGATACACAGTTAAGAGCATGGAGAACACGTTTGAAAAACTCAGAATTTAATAAGTTCAGAAGAAAAAGATACAAACTTAGACAAAACAAGATGAATCATGCTTAGTAAGAATACAAACATAGTACAGTAATGCCAACAAAATCAAAGAACTTAATCGTAAACACATATAGCAAAAATTAACCTGTGAGCATAGGAGAAAAGAAAGTATCACTGGACCGAATCATCATAATAGATTGCTATGGCTTCTTGGGCTCCCCCTCTTTGTGTACTATCTCGATCATGTTCGTTTCCTCATGGGTTAGCAATGGATTTTGATTGATGTTGGGTGCTTCTGGAGTTTGAACTTTAATCCGGTTTGTGTCGATGAGCTCTTGGATAGCATTTTCAAGTGCCAGCACTTCTCCGTATCATGCCCCGGAGTACCAGAACAATATTCACATCTCAAGGAGTAATCAAGATTCTTTGGAGGAGGGTTTGGCAATTTCGACTCAATTGGCCTCAGCATATCCAACTGCCTCAATCTATGGAATAAACTGGTATAAGACTCCCCCACGGAGTAAAAGTTTTCTTCCACTGCGACCTCTAATTTTTGAATGCTGGATTGGGTCGGAAATAAGGACCGGCAGGGTTGTGGTAGGCTCGTGGGGGTGGGTAAGCATTTTGTGGAGCTGGGTAGGTTTTTTGTGGGGCTGGGGGACGCCATTATGAGTAGGAAGGGGGTTGAGTATATGACTGGGCTTGGTGGATAGAAATCTGAGGGTCTGGTGATGGGAAGTAATGCTGGGGTGGATTATATGGGTTTCGGGCATAGGCTCGGTGATGGGGTCGAGGCTGGGTATAATGGTGTGACGGGCCCCTCGGTTCGAACCACGATCCTGAATCAATTGTGGCCACATCTTCTTTCTTCTTCTTTCCAATCATTCCTCCGGTACCGTTCTGGATGGCTTGGGTGGTTGCTTTAATGGCCGAGTAACTAATGATTTTGCTCGACTTAAGCCCTTCTTCAACCATGCCGCCCATATTTACTACCTCGTTGAAAGACTTTCCTATGGCCAATATCAGGTGGCCAAAGTAAGTGGGTTCCAACGCTTGTAGAAAATACTCCACTATTTTGTTCTCCTCCATCAGAGGGTTAAGTCTTGCCGCCTGTTCTCTCCAGCGAAAACCATATTCTCTGAAACATTCTCCTGGCTTCTTTTCTATCTTAGTTAGGGACAAACGATCTGGGACGATCTCTATGTTGTACTGGAATTACCGTGCAAATGCTTGGGCCAGATCATCCCATGTATACCATCTGCTATGATCTTGACGTGTATACCACTCTAACGCCGCGCCACTCAAACTCTGGCTGAAGTATGCCATTAGCAGCTCATCTCTTCCACCAGCTCCTCTCATTTTACTGCAGAATCCCCTTAAGTGGGCCACCGGGTCCTCGTGCCCGTCGTGTAAGTCAAATTTAGGCATCTTGAATCCCACAGGCAACTGAACATCGGGGAATAGACACAAATCTTTGCATGCTATGCTCACCTGGCCTCCCAATCCCTGCATGTTCCTGAACGATTGCTCCATGCTTCTTACCTTCCTGAACATCTCCTCCTGTTCCGGGTTTTTTGGTGATTTCTCGGTCTCAACAGGGAGCTCGAAACGAGGAGTATAAGAGTGATGATCTGGGGCCCTGAAAGTAGGCTCTAGGGGATAGTACTAATTGTCTTGGGTCTGGAACAGTGGCTCACTGGAGGATCGATGGAGTGTAGCTAGCGGGGGTGCCACGAAAATAGGAGTGGTTGGTGGAGGGGGGTACGGGATTGTTTTAACTGGTGGTGCTTGGGTGGTTTGGGAAGTGGTGCCTTGATAATAGTGGTAGTAGGTGAAACCTGGTGCATTTTGTGGGGATGAATCAGCAGTGGAAGGTTCTTGGAACTGAGCCAATGGTGGGACGAAAGCGGGATTGGCAGGGTATGAGGGTGGGGGATGCCCTTTCACCCAAGCTCGGTACATTTCGGCCATCTGATGTTTCAACTTGTACAGTTCCTCTTTCAGATTAACCTCAGACTCTTCCCCCTCTCTTGACGGATCAATGACACTTGCATCTAGTTCTTGGCCAGCCATGATCAACTTGTCTTTGGACCTGGTGTTGTACGGGTGAGTTGCCAGAATACCAATCACACTAACCACCTGCCTGAACTTGATGACAACAAGCAAACTTGTTAGCGGTTAAGAGCTTAACAGGTAGGCAACCGCACGTTGGGGATGCAATGCACCTAAACAGTTAACCCTTCCTATCATGCATTTGAATCTCTGCTTGCTTCATCCGAGCTTTCACTAATTCTTTTCATTTTGCATTTTCTTTCTCTCTTTTCATTCCCGTCTTTCTTTGTTGGCTCTCTTTTCTTTCTTTTATTCTTACAATTTCTTTACTCTCTTGTTTTGCCATTATTTTTCCTCTTGCTTATTTCCACTGTCTTTTTTTCTTTTTCATTTTATAGTTATGATCGAATCCTATGCGGATTGCCTACGTATCATGATGCCGCATGAATCAGACCAAGCATAGTTCTGGGAATATGTGCGAAATAAAAACATTTTTGGGGTTTTCAAATTTCATAAAAGAAAAACATTCTGATTACGACGACTTCTCCTACAAATTTATACATAAAGACTGACAGACTCGACGAGTGAACCAACAAACTTCAAAAGAAAGTATAGACTCAAAAAATGAACCAACAGCCGGACAATACAGACTCAAAAACGAACTAACAAAATACAGACTCAAAATCAAGAATACATAAGTGCCTCAGCTATTGCTCCAGTTGGCCGTGTTGCGGGCCTTTGCGCCATGTCTTCTTGGAGGCAAAACAAGTCATCCATGATCTGCCGGACAAAAATCATAACTGAAGCGAAGAACATGGACCGGGTCATGTATGCACACTCGTTGCACTTCATCAAAATGTATCCGCAATTCTCCTAAACCTTTCCCTGATAATACCTTTCTCCTGTAGCAACCGTCCTATCTGCTGAGATCTGGCACCCAAAACTTGTTCAGCTGTATGATTCTGCTCTTGAAGCTGTTGCAAATATTTCTCTAGCTGTGACATCAGGGCATAGCAGTGCTCCTTTTCTGCTTTGAAATCTCTCGCCTGCTTGGCCATTTCGTTCTCAAGGACGTTGACCTTTTCCTTCATACTCACCATTCCTTTGTCATATTTCTCCTTCAGTTGCCGAATGAAACTGGCCCTTCCCTCCGCATTCTTAGCTAACTTGGCTCAGGCATTTGCTAGCTCCGCTTCAGTTTTTTGCAAATTATCCTCATAGTCACGTACTTTTTGCGTGAGGCTGTAGATGAGCTTTTCATCTTTTCTGCTTCTGCCCGGGTTCTCAACTGCTATTCTCATTTTCCGAACTTGGGCTCGGAGAGCTTCGCTCTCTTGGGGCAACTTTCCTCTTTCACCTTCGGCTTCTTGTGCTTGGAGATCATTGTTGAATTCCATGTTTCTCAACTTCTCTTTTAAGGCGCGAATCTCGGCTTGATATTTCTTCTCTTTTTCTCCCCAGGCCAACTTTTCTTGGATTTTGTCGTCAAAAGCTTGAACATGAGGTCTCTTGGCAGGCCTCTCGCGCTCGGGCTCGAGCTCGGGCTCAGGCTCTAGCTCGTTGTTTACACAAGACCTTTTCTCGAACCATGCAGCATAATTTGGATCCACTTCCCCCTTGGCAACATCTGGTACCAGGGTGCCATTTTTCAGATACGAGCAGCCATTCTATTCCCGCTGAACTAAAGCCTCGGGCAATGCAGCTCCTGGATGTAGCTCAATGACTTGGGTGGTTAGATCTTCATCTTCGGGCACAATCTGATATCTTCCTAACTGCCTCAAAACCCTCTGCGGTGCATATGGCCGGATACTTCTCACACCCATCAATCTCAGGTAACCCTTGGTAGCCGTCATGTATATGGCTTCTGTCATCGGGAGCCATCCTATTGTCCACTCGACCTGACTTTCTTTGAAAGCTTTCAAGAGGGAGACCAAGGCTTCAAACCCTTCTGGCACGTTGTAGTCCTTTACCTTTTCCTCGTAACTTGTAATGAAGTTATCCGGGCTCGAACCATAGCTCATGAATTTGGGGTGATGGTGAAGATGCTCGATCAACCACATTTGAAGAAGGATATTGCAACCTTCAAAGAATTGATCCCCAGCTTTGCATAATGTCAATGCTCGATAAATATCTGCCAACACTAACGGGACAAGTGTATGATCTTCCTTGGTAGTGAAGATTTGTGCAATTCTGACCATACGAGTATCCACTGTCCCTTCCTCATTTGAAAAAACCATGATCCCTAAAAACGCCACAATAAAAGTGAACTGGCGATGAATTTGCCAAAGGCCCTTATTTTGTTTGTTGCTCAAACTCTTTTCATGCATTTCGAACCCGGCTGAGTGCCCGAACCTGAAGTACAAGAAATGGAAAGAACAACAACCTTTGCTTACATGGGCCTTCTTCATCTGTTTACTGATATTCAGGAGGTCAAAGAACTTGTGCACCGAAGGAGTCCTCGGAAATATAAGTTGTTGCTTCCTTAAATCCCAACCAAACTCAATGTACCCGGCCATTTCCTCCAAAGTAGGGGTGATCTCAAAGTCCGAGAAACGAAAAACATCGTGGACAGGGTCCCAGAAAGTTACCAAAGCCTTGATTAGATCTTCCCGTGGTTTGATTTCCAAAATGTTTATAAGGGCACCCAATTGCTTTTTCACCCACTTCTGACCATCTTCATCTAGATCATTCCACCACATACGCAAGTGCAACTGAGCCTGTTTCCTGACCACTTCTGACGAGTCCTGGGCAGTGTTCATTTGTGAGGGGTCCTGGATAGTATTCATTTGTACCTGTGGAGGGTTAAGGTTAGGGTTGACTCTGGTGGATCTTTTTGTAAAATAGGTTTTCCAATTTCTACAAGAAAAATCAGTGGACCACGATTCCTTCCCCTATATGCTAATTTTAGAATAATGACCGTTTTGCAAACGTGGCCCCTTCCCAATTCCAAATGAATTTTGAGGCCGGGGAGGGATACTTTATGGAAAAAATGACACTTTACAAACTTGTCCGTTCTTTTACAAAAATAGCCCTTCGACAACTGAAGATACTCTAAGGCTATCTCGGCAAGAATGGTTTAAGACATTACCGAAGCTGGATCGACTTATTTTGACCAAACCCCAAACTATATTGATTTGACCATGTACTCTCTTTTTTTAAAAATAAGGCCGAACCTTATGTAGGTTGCCTACGTATCCCACATCCGGTGAGAGTCAGACCTGCGTAGTTCGGTCAGTTTTGACACACTTGAAAAAGGACACAGCATTGACTCTTTTGAAAAGACTATTTCTTTTTCCTCTTTTTTTTTTGAAAAATTTTCAGTAGAGTCTCGGGATATTTCCAATTACCGGGGGTTTTCAGAACCTGGCTTTATTTCCTTCCCTGCATCACTCTTGGTTTTCTTTTGATTATTTTCCCTAGTCGGTCAGCATGCAGGCCGAATCAAATAAATGTTCACATAGCACATAGGATGCATCAGGATGGTCTGTTATTTTGGGGTACACCTGTCCTAGACGGACCCAACCCCTGTGTTGAGTCCCCTAAGTCAAATGCACATGATGCAAACAAGCGCTCCTACTAGGGATCTGGCATGAGGCTGTGTTAATCTAGGTTTAAAACCTGGGGTTGTGTTCTAGACCTGGGTTATCCGAGCGGACAACTGGGTCCGAAGAGGGGGCAACGTACCGTGAGCACTAAAGTCTGCCCGGCCTTGTTGCCGGCCCAGCCTCGTTCTATTTGGTATAATTTCTACAGAAAAGCGGGCCAAGCGAACATGTGCACCATTTTAAGAAGACTCAGAGGGGTGTCGTAAGAAGATAGTTATATACAATTCAAAAAATATTAAAGCGGTCAACAGATAGCATTTAGCACAAAAGGTTCACAGAATACAGTAATATTAACAATAAATGAAGCCAAGTAAAAATCATAAAACAAGCTCAAATTCTTGAACCTGAACCAGAAGTTCTGGGTTCTTTTCCCCAGCAGAGTCGCCAAAGCTGTCACACCTCCTCTTTACAACCCCCGAGAGGGTATATAATGGAGATTTTCCAATTTAAGTAACAATCAAAATGGGATTATTATTTAAGATCAGAGTCGCCACTTGGGATAGTTTATGGTGTCCCAAGTCACCGGTTTAGAATCCCAAATCGAGGAGATTTGACTCTGTTTATGTCTGCGAAACACAGAAATCCGGGTAAGGAATTCTGTTAACCCGGGAGAAGGTGTTAGGCACTCCCGAGTTCCGTGGTTCTAGCACGGTCGCTCTGATCATACTTGGCTTAATCAAATTGCTTAATCACTGATTTTAGAACCTATGTGCATGTGCCTTTTTAATGAAGAAATTATCTTAAAACAGGTCACGCGTACGTGTACCCATTTATTTGGCGCGTCAAGAATCATGTCACGCGAACGTGTCCACAATTAATAATGCTCTGTTATTATTAAGCAAAGTTTGGCCAAAGTTGCGTGAACACATACTCCGGTTTTGTTTTTAGAAATCGTAATCATGTCACGCGAACGTGTACGCAGTCACGATGGTATTTTAGACGCGCCTAAAGCAAACTACGAACATTCGTCATTTTTTTATAACTAAGTTATTAAGATGAGGGCCATGAATGATTAAATTATGAATGGAACACCTCGCCCTAGAGAACTACATTTAATTTAGCGGCCTATTAACAACAATTTTATTATTAAGAAGGTTTGATCGAAGTTGCGCGAACGCATACTCCGAATTGGTTTTAGAACTGTAATCATGTGACGCGAACGTGTACACAATCACAATTGTATTTTTAAACGGCCCTAAAGGATTCTCTACGGATATTTATCCTAATATCTAATCATAGTCTTGTGAGGGCCATAGATGATTTAGTGAAGATGGCACATCTCAACCATTTTAGGAGTCATAATTAAACTGGCCTTAGGACGCTTGCAATGTACAAATGATCCAAATTCAATAAAGTTGTACGTTGTGAGCGTGAATAGGCCACGGACTATTTCAGTGAAGTGGGCCGGCATTCAAACTCCTTGGACATTGAGGTCAGGCAATTGAATTTACTAAGAAAGTGACAAGAGAAATGGGCTTTAGAGGCGAGCCCAAAATGGAAAAGAAAGGGGGCTGAAATACACAAGCTTGGCTTGGGCCAGGTTATCTTACTTGGGCCAATTAACAGGCCATGCCACTTTAAGGGATGCCATTAAGCACCCTTACCCTTTGGGGTACCCTGTTTTGCAACCCTTGAATTATTAATTACCTTGAGTAGCCCAAACATTGTCAAGCTAAATCAATTGCATCAAAGTAAATAAAGGATATTCATTATCAAATTCAGATTCAAACTGCAGAGAGTTGAACACTATACAATTAACGAAATACAAGTTCCACCCATTTGAAAGTTAAAATCATTGTTAACTGCTGCTGAATGCATACGTAGTAGGGTATCCTAGACATTTGAACCAAGTGTTATAATGGTGCATAGTTCCTAAGCTCATTCAGATGTTTACAACCAAAGCTTAAAACAACAGAAACATGATGAGGGCTAACCTTGGACTTAACATCACTACTAGCGTGAACCAACTCAACCAAAATCCAACAAAGAAATGCTACTCGTCTAAATTTAAATCCACAATATTACAGTCTAAACACACAAGTACTCGAGAAAGAATTTAACCAAGCTAGAACTAAAATGACAAATCAGAGTCCAAATACAATCTGAAAATGCACTGTCCATAGCATGACTGAATACAGTACAATTCAAATAGTAAAGCTAATTCAATAAGGAAAACATGATTAGTCTTTGAAGAATAGGGACTAATATTCAGCAAGTTCATATTCATTCCACAAGTGTCCAAATCGACTACATGGCTTCTCAATGCACTTCACATGTTAATGAGGGCCAAGAAGTACCTGGGACAGAAATTAGAACAAGAGAAAGATGAGGAAATCAGCAGCAGTAGCAGGAGCAGGAGAATGTAAATCAGCAATTCAGCACAGCAATTTCAGCTTCCTTAGGCTATTTTCAACCCCAAACAAACAGAAATTCCTTGAAAGTTTTAGAGTTCTGACTAACAATGAAGATCAAAGAGCAAAACCAAAACACATTTCGGCCAAAGGATGCAGGAAATTTTCAGTATTTTTTCAGAGTATCAAAAGCTGCTCAAAAATGAAAAAGAGGTCTTATATAGGCATGCCTAAGGCAGCCCTAGCCTAGCTAACCAATTCCCTTTCTACCCCTTCTTTCTTAGTCATTTTACCCTTTTTACCCCTTTAAAATATCTGACCCTCCCTTATCTCTTAACAAGCTAGCTCTAAACTTATCCTCTAGAAGCTTCTATACTAACAGAAAAATATTCCATGAGTTTTAAAATACCCAAATTAACCCTTTACGCCCCTGTTTTTACATCCAGAGTGACTCAACTCATGGGTCAGATTTGACCCAAGTCCCAAATGAACGGGTCTCTTAACCGGGTCAGTGATGACCACAGTTAATACCAAAACCCAAACCATCAGAAATGATCAAACAAAGAGATCAAATTCAGAGAAAAGAAAACAAACAACAATCCAGAATTTTACGGTTAAACCTAGCTTAACCACCAAACTACATTGAATTCCACTATTAAAGAAAACAAGATAAAAATAATGAAGCAAATATAAACATAAAAGTAAAAAAAAAGAAGAACAGAAAATGCCACAATAAACAGAGTCGTGAGGAAAAGGAGGGGAAAGTACCAATTCACGCCGGAATGTCTTGACAAATTGTGACGAATCGACAAACGATGACCTGAGTCGAGACTTGGCCAGAATCGGATGAGTCAGTCAAAATCCGACATTTTCGTAATGACTCAGAACTTTCGTCAATCGATTTCCCTCGTTGAGAGCAATCTATTAACGTAAGATTCGAGTTAAAACGAGTCGAAATTGGAGCAAAAATCAGAGAATGGAAGGGAAATTAAGGTTTGCATTTTCTGTTTTCAAATCCGAAATTGGGTAACTGTGGTTGGATTCTAAGGAAAGATATTGATAGATTTGGGAAGAAGGAGGGGTAAGGATTGCATGGTTGGATTTTTGGGGTGGTTAGGTGGTCTGCCGTCAGCCGATGGAAGCTTGGGAATCTAGGGCGGCGGCTAGGGTTTTTTTCTCTAAGTGTGAGAGACAAAGAATGGAGGGGGAGGCAGAATATGGG